AGTAGATAGTGGTAGTGGCGCACTTCTCAATGGTGACAGCGCGTGGGTAGTCGCGAGAGGGGTCCTCCATCTCAGCAAGGACAGTCGGGAACGCTTGATTGCCGCTGAAAGCAAAGGCGATGTTCAGGAACGCCGCGACAGCTTCAGTGAAGGTGGGACTTCCGATAGCTTTCAGGTTGAGAGGTGCTCCCGCATTGCGGGGACCCTGAACACCAAGCACAATCATGACGAACATGACGGCCGAGAAGATGGAGATGGTGCAGGGCCACGATGCCCATGACACGAAACGCATACTACGCGGTACGCACATGGCCCACATGGCAATGGCCGCAACGACCGAGAAGGCGACCGTGCAGGTCGCGTGTTCGCTGACGGTGTTGAGACCGATCGAAATAGTGACCACTGCCGATGCGCTGATGAGAGCCATGTTGATGAGGAAGCCAATGGCAAAGACAGCTTCGAGCCAGGGACCGCCGAGGACGCGTCCGTAGTCGACAATGTTGAGCATGTAAGGATACTTGCGCCAGTACTGAACGAGATTGTAGGCAGTGTACAAGCTAAGCATCCCCATACCGACAATGGCAATGATACCCGGGAAGAACCCAAGGGTGTTCAGAGCGGCTGGCAATGACAAGATACCGATGCCGATCTCATTGGTCATGAAGATGATGACAGTTTGTGTTGTGTTGAGTTTCTTCGTTCCTGCACTGCTTGTGGGGCGTTTGCTTGCATTTTGGATATCGGATACGTCGCCTAGGTTCGTGTCGTGCTCGGAGGAGGTTTCGAGCTTTTCGGGGTCTCCGTGCTTCTTTTGTCGCAAAGGGTCTTCCGGATCGTGAGTAGGGTCTGCTGCAAGGGCTACTGTAGGTCGCTGGGCAGATACGGGCAGATCATTGAGAGCTTTGGGCTTGTTGTCGAGGTCGTGTGTATGTTGCATGGGAAGGTTGCCGTGGGCAGAAGGGACGTCTTTGTGATCCATGGTTAGAGGGAGACCAAGCACTTACGCCTGCATGTACCGAGTGAGTGTGGTCGAGACGGGGGAATCGAAGTGACGAGGAAGATGCGACCAAGAAACGAACTTGTCAATGGAGACGTTTGAGGAGGGCCAAGTTGAGAGGATAAATAGATGCGGGAAAGAACGATAGACTGGTCACAGCGCAGCGTGGAGGAAACCAAGGACATGGAGAATTACGTATTAACGCACATCGCACGCGGACCAAGACAGTAGCTGGTAGTAGCGTATCGTAGAATGTGTCCGCACTTTAACGGGGACTGTGCACCCAATGATGGCTGGTCTTGGAGGCAGGGTCTCGCGGAGGCGTGGAGACGGAATGGTACTTTTATCCACTTCAGGTATGTGGGCCTCCCTAGATGCCGTATAGATGAAGCTCTTAGTAAAGGAACCGAGCTGGTGTTTCGCGAAACGCGCAAGTGCGGCATGCTGGGTCCTTCCGGACGATGCGCAGCCTTCCCACGCTGCCGTTCCTATCAAACGATGCAACATGATGCGGAGAAGGGTCTTGGTGACGTCTGATGGTCATCCACGTCGGGAGCGACCGCGCTAGCGAGAGCCGCATCTGACAACGCGAGAACCGCGCCGAAGCAGGCCGGTGTCACACCCGACAGCTTGGCCGCTGTCGTCATCGGTCTGGGCATGTTGCGATGAAGTCCATCAAGCCCAAGTCCTCACATAGCCATGTGTAGGTGTGAGCGTGTCCCAGATTACAGGAACCCTCCGAGTATTCAGACGATGGACAGACGTTGATCCAGTGTATAGGCCATTTCCGGGACGAAATGGGAAGGAACCCGAAGGATCCATCCGCGACAAGGACATGCCGCGTCGCATTGGCAGTGAATGCGAAAATTTCGCGCGGTAAAACATCGGCTGCAGTCCATAATCTCATCATGTTACATCCAGTGAAAGTGAGGCACTTGGAAACCGGAGTGCACGGACGGTTGGCATGGCGGAGGAGTTGGGAGAGCCAAGGCCAGTCTTATGCGATAAACTTCGACGGCAAATGTCCGCTTCGAGTGTTGATAGGTTCGCAGACATGTCCAGAGGCACTTTCATCCCATACTAGAGGCCGTGGACGAGATGAAGAACCCGGTCGAGAATTGAGTTCTCCTTCAATGGTCGCTGTGCGAAGACACAGTGCCGTGTATTTCGGTAGATGGTCGCATAAGGTGTTGAATCGAAATAGCCAACAGTACGGTTTCCATGGGTCGCAGCACATCAATCATTACTCCGGTTCCGCTGCAAGGTACCGATTTGGATGTATCTGTGGAGTCGCATGTCGCAAGGGAAGTCGCATAGGAAGACGCAGTGTTCTGCTGCTGGCATGTCGCTTTGGAAAGATGAATCGTGTCGCTCTTGGAATAGACCTTGTTGGCCAGAAAGGCTGTTAATTCAGTCAGTAAGACGTGGGGAAGACCGAGTATCTCTCCGGAATATCTGGAGCAGGTAGGTCAGACGAGAGTAAGATATTGAAGTCAGTGTGGGATGAAGTCGTGGGTATTGTCGGTTGTTGGTCGCATGGAGTAGGAGTTGACGAGAGGCCCCTATCGAGTGGGCACGCATTTCGGGTTACGCGTCAGCTGAGTCATGCGCCTTCATTTTCCCATCTGTCGCTTCCTCATACGCGATCTTCGATCCACCGATCCTCAGACCTCGGCCACAATCGCGATCTTACACTGTGCCGCTTCTTCTTCTTCTTCTCTCTTATCGCAAAGGATGTCTCGCGTTTCCGCACGCACTGTACCCTCTGCAGGTTCCCAAGGTGCGGCGCAGGAGTGGCTGTGAGGCGGCTGTGAGGCGCACGGGGGCCCTAATAGCCGTTCTTTCCGGGCGGGACGGCGCCAAAAAGCTTGGCCTACGACTATCATCACCATTCTCAAACCTTTCGGGGCCACGCAGGAGCGTCAAGCATGTCGACTCCCTGCTTGGCACGTTGTGGTACGCGCATGCCTTTCCCCAGGAATGACAGGAGGTGAAACGAGATCGATGGCTAGTCCCCACCTCATCTTCGACGTTGCTTCCACGGCTTCTCCATCTTGTCACCTTCCGCCGACTTTCCCTTTGCCGTGTGTTTGAGCGAGAGTCTGCCGTGTTCCCTGCTTGTTCGATAATCCGCCCCCGACATACGTGCCGCTATTGCCGTCGTTGACGAGTCACTCATTTTTGCGTTGCTCCCTCCTCTCATTCTCCACATTCACCATGATACCCCGGATAGCGCTTTCGGCGCTTTTGTACGCCTCCACCGCATTCGCCGTGTGCACCAAGCTCGAAGACTGCCCCCAGTTTGAGGCCCTCAAGACCGACGAATGCCAAACCTACCATCATTTCCTCGCCCGCGGCTCTACCTCGCCATACCCGGGCCACGTCATCGAGACAGTCGGCAAAGTGTGCAATGCGCTCAACACCAAGGAAAACCCCAAGGCCTGCGGATATGAGGATGTGCAGTACTGGGCCATGAACGGCGGAGAGCGATGGTGCATATCGTCGCACGAGGGGGCTATGAATGGCGCCGAGCAGATGAGGAACTACACTGCGAGGTGTCCGGACAGCCACCTCATTGTCATGGGTTTCAGCCAGGGTGGAAGTGTCGCGCTCGACGTGCTCGGTGGTGGTGGCGGTCCACTCTGGGGCTGCACTCAGGAAGACAACCCACCCATGAACATCTCAAGTGCGCCCGGATCCAAGGGTGCGACTCCGATCTTATGTCAACGTCGAGACCTATACTAACATTTCCGCAGTCGTAGCAGCACTTGCTTTCGGCCCCACGCGACGATCCGCAAACCAGTCCTTCACCCACGGCGGCGGCGAGATCTCGGATGGCGGCGCGCCACGAACCGCAGAGCAGAACGCCGGTCTCCAACCCTACGCTGACGCTGGCAAGCTCCGCGAGTACTGCCAGCCTGGCGACCCTATCTGCGCACCCCATACCAAGGACAAGGACATGTCCAAGCACCTGAACTACTTCGACCTGTTCGGCGACGAGGCAGCGCAATGGGTCATTGACCTCGCAAAGAAAGCCGAGAGCGGAGACCGAACCTCAGGCGCGAAGAGCATGCTCCACCAGACCGTCTCGCACCCCATTGCCAACGTCTTCGTCCTGATCTTCGTGCTATTCGCCATATAGTAAGTTCATTCCATACACTCGCAGTAGTACCATAGAAGCGCGATAGACGGAACGGCGTTACGAAGGCGGACTTTGGAATCATACAGAATGAAGACTTATACCTTGCAGTTTTGCAGTGAGGAAGTTCGCCGTATGGAAGACCACACGCTTCCCCATGTACACCCGCGTCAGCTCGACCGAATCCGTATGAGCACGATCAGCTCCGTTCCACCGCCGGACCCGAGTTGGACAAACACACGTTGCAGGTCTTGGAGATGCTTGGCGCCAAAGGTGTGGCTTCGCAGAGCCGCATATCCGGACGAGGCACCGCCACACCCGCCAAGGATGGGAGAAAGATCTTTGAAGAAGAATGAAGGATGTTTGAATGCGGGACGCGCCCAATATGTACCTTTGTCGTGCATGCCGAAATACCCTTCAATTGTACCATACTATATGGATATAGCTACATTTAGTACCAGTCGACCGGATCGGCTAATCAAGATATATTAACTTCGCATCTGGCCCTTTCCCGCAATCTCCGTATCCCGTCCTTCTAGCGTCAGAACAGATCGTGTTGCAATGTTTCATCAGGAATAGATTTGCGTTATCAGGTGTGGCTTGATAACCCCGTATCGATGAGGGGGGTCTAAAATCCGTATGCGACACGAAGATGACCACTCCTGGCGCAGCTGTAATGAACGCTGACGATTATCCTGCTAATCTCCTACCTATGCCTTTTCGCCAGCAGTGTATCAATCATCACACTTCACGTCATGCACGGGGAAAGTGTAATTTTGAGCTCACCGCGAATAGCGTGTGAGCCTTTTCCTGTTACTATCGTGCTATTATACATGGGCCAACTGATGCACAAGGCACCTAAGTCTACTCCCCTTCCTCCGCATCCAAGAAGGCCTCATCGCCACTCGACTCAAACCCTTCGTCCTCGCCTTCCGAGTCATCAACATGCTCAACGGCCGGAACAAACTCCTCATCGTCGTCGTGGTCATCTTGGTCTTCCTCGTCTTGAGCATCGAGCTGGCCGGGTACAGCTCGGGCGACATGCTGACGCAAAGCCGGATCGTCTCCAAGTGCGAGCTTGCGGAAGAACGGGTGACTCTCCGTAAGCGGCTTGCCAGTAGTGATGAAACCCATGGGAGTGTGCTCGAAGTCTTGACCCTTGCGGCGCAGAGCAAGCCATTCATGTACTGTGCACCATAGTTAGTAAAACTGTTTTCTGTTACATGTTCGGAGAATACGTACCAAAAGTAAGAGGCTTCTTTGCGAATGCATCCTTCTGAGGGTGCTGGGATAGGTTCTCATCAAGACCAAGGTACTCCAGCAGTAGGTAGTACTCGTCCCATTCAAGGTACAGGCGCCCGGCGAAAAGCCCCATTTCGACTCGAAGCCAGACTGGAGCTTGGAAATCCGCAGGTAAAGCCGGTATCGCATAGTAGTCAAGCTGGTTGAAATGAAGCATCCTTCGTGTAACAGGTGCAGCGTAGATGATCAGGTGAACTTTGCCACTATCTTGAAGCGCTTGTCGCTCTTGCATGATTGGGATGAGCTGGTTGGCTTCTTCAGGGCTAACAAGCAGCGCTTGTTGGCTGATAGTACTCCAGAGAATCCAGTGAGAAGAACGGAGGTAATTGTCGTTGGGCGCATAGACTTCGATTGTACGAGAGAATTCCGCTGAGATCCACGAACCGGACTTCATCGAGGAATGGACCGTATGCTTGAGGCCTAGTGAAGTCATCCGTCCCAATACCGAAAACAGAGGTTGATAGGCATCGCTTCCAGGGACGAGACGCCCGAACTCTACGAAATGTCGGATGTCTTCATGCAGCTTTTTCGTCTTATATGGGTTGAAGAGGATGGCTTGTTGTACTTCCCGGACGTTTTCAACCTCGACTTCTACCTCGCGCTCAGCCTCACGTTCTTGCTCAATTTCTACCTCCTCTAGTGCTGATGCATGGACCGCTGAACCTCGGTCTTGGAAGTGTTTCTTGCGTTTTACAAGCTTGGTATAGATACCCTGCAGCGAAGATTTCCATACGATGGTGGAAGCGTTGGGACCAGCACGGCGGTGACGCTCACCCCTTGGCTCGTATAGCTGTTTCAGTGAAAGAGCCTCCTTGATGCGGACCGTTGCGAGATAAGCATCGCGTGAAAAAGCATCATGCAGATATTCGGGATACTCCAACTGTGCCTGCTCTTGCTGCAAATACTGCAAGGTCTGTGCAAAATAGGACGGCTCGAGCTGCTCCATAGTATCGCAAGTTTGACCAAACACCCAGCGAAGGACGTCACCCGAAGTGGGCTGATAAAACTCATTGGATTTATTTGGTAGCCGATCCAATATACCCTGGTGGACTTCAATCGGTGAGAAGAACGTGACTGACTGGGTTTGACCAAGAAGTCGAAGTCGCATGGCCGCCTGTACCAGTGCATCTTTCGTCAAATGCTGACCGAGAGTCAGGGCAGCTCGCGCATGTGGTGGGAATTTGATATCAGTGCCTCTGCAGTGACTCTCATCCAGGTATACAACACATCGATCTAAATCCTCGGCGAATGGAGATGCTACTAGTGGTATGCGTCTTCCTGTACGATATAATACCCATGCACGATGATCGGCGTCGAAGTATACAGCTGCTGCTGCTCCCTCATCCGCATGAAGCCAAGCATTGGCAAAGTCTTTGTTCGAATGCTCAAGAACCTGCGCACCAGCGTCGATGAGAATTCTAATTCGACTCTTCAGATGGATGTTGTTGGCTCCGTATGGGAGACGGAAAGACTGGTAATGACCAGCGTATTGCTTTTGCCAGGAGCGATTTGCAAGGTCTTCGATCAAAGCTGCTTCAGTCCAACGCGCTCCATGCGATGAGGTCATGCGCATATAAGATTGGTTACGAGGTGCTAGAAGGTAGTATGGGACTTCGGCATTCGTGTGTGCTAGCTGGGGGAGATCTTGCTGTTGAACCAAAAGCGGAAGTTGGTGCCTAGAGTCGTTCGTACCCGAGAAACCGGTCACACGGGGTCCAAGATTGTCCTGACTTGATGGAAAGAGGTTCCAACCAGATGCCTGAAGCTTGAGGCTGAAGGTCTTTGCGTACTTTGGAAACACAAAGTTGTTCAGATAGAAATCCATTAGGGCTGCACTGTAGCGTATGATCTGGTAGAGCTCACTCAGTTGTCTTGTATCTTCGGCATTGATTGTCGCATAGTCGTCGAACTCCTTCGGGATGTCAATTCCTTTCGGAAACCATTTCTCGTACTGAATGCTCGGTTCGTCCGTCTTGACCAAGTGCGCGAAGGCTTCCTTGAACTGAGAGCCGGTCAGACCTTGATAGTAGAATGACAAGCACGTCAAGGTGATGGCAACATCGGGGTGACCCCATTCTGCTGTAGGCGAGGGCACACCCTTAGCGAGGTATGGTACCGCTATCGGCGCGCGTATCGGATTCAATCCATACTGCACGTTCCAGCGCTTCTTGAGAGCTGTAATCAAGATACGATGAACGAACATGCCACGGAGTAAGTTGACCACGCGCATCAGAGTTGGCTTGTCTCGGAAGAAGCTGACGATCGTGGATATCGTCTGACTACGCACTGTGGGCTTCGAGATGTAGGCCTGTACATCATTCATGAGGGAGACGGGGTATTCGGCACAGGGCAGTATCGACGGTGTCTGACCCTTGCAGATAATCATGACCAATAGCTTGGTCAAGTAATCCTCGGCGTCTTTGCGCAGGAAATAGATGAGAGGAAACCCACTGCTGCCGCGGTTGACCACTTCGATGCTGCGAGGACATTGTGACTGGACATTTGAAGCAAAGTCCTTCACTAAGTGAAGACATGCCTGGATAACCTGCCAGCGCATCGGATGGCCGTCCACTGTGGTCTGCGTACCGGATGGATAGATGAGTTGCGTCCTGATTGCCAACGAAACGTCGCATTCGTCCAGAACGTCGCGGGTGTGTCGATCCAGCCAGCGCTGTGTCTCGATCATCATGGATGCTGATTCGAGGTTCTCGTCGCAGAGTTGTTGTAGTCCACTCAGCTTGAAAGAGAGCACATGTTCTGGCAATGCGATGAGTACACCACGGCGATCGCGCAATCTTGAGTGCATCTTTGCGTAAAGATCCATCAATGCTTCGGTAGGAGGCGTCTTTCGAGAGAAGGGGATATGCATCAGCTCGCGGTCGACTAGTCCGCCTAGTTTGGCTTGCATCACCTGCGCCGACTGGAGCAAGAGAGCTCTTGGGACCACGACGCGAGCAAGATCGGCTTGATTAGCAAGGAGAGCCGCCACCATAGCTATGAAAGTTAGTTTCTGTTGAGCTCAAGGTCCGGTGATGCACTTACGGAGGATGCAAGACGTCTTGCCTTTACCCATCAAGAGTTGCAAGACTGAGTTCTGGTCTGACTGGGGTGAGACAGTCGCTAAGGCGACCTGTACTTGCTCTTCTCGGATCAGGATGTCGCCGTCGATTTCGAGCAGAAGCCAGTCCGGAAAGTTCACGGGATTCCAGTTGCTATGGCCAGAGTTCGCCCATTCATCTCGCTCCTGTTGTTCTTTTTGTCTCTTCTGCGCATCCTGGATGCGGTGTATCTGTTGGAGTCTACTTGTGGCCACCCCGAAAGCCACGATCGCTTCTTTCGTGCCTGCGCCGAAAGTAGTGCCTGAAGTTGCTCGGAGTTCAGTGAGAAGCTCGACATTCGTCATCCTGGGCCATGTATCTACTAACTGGAGCCACTTGGCTTGTGGATGATGGGATTGAAGTGAATAGCGGACGTGCTCAACTGCATTTGCTGCAATTTGTTTCGCGGACGTGATCTCGCCTCCGGTGATTCTGGAATGCAAGCTATCAGAGGTCTTTTGCGCGTAGGCGATGTGCTTTTCGAGAGCGGCAATACTCGCATCCATTTCTTTCGCATACCTACACTGCACGAAAGAACTCGGGTCTTTGAAGTTGGCGACGATATTCCTCAGCATACCAATTTCTTGTGGCTGCTGTTTGGATGCCCGAGGATGGATTGGTGCCCTCTTATCCTGGTAGTTACCCATGAAGTTGTTGATCTTGCCAGGATGATGCGCAATGTTGCCCGATCTCATGGTTAAAGCTCCGGCGTAAGAACCGACCGCGCGAGGACACATCTCCCTGGGCACTTGAATGCTGACGATTGGAGCCTTCAATAGTTCCGAAAGCGATAGATCATCGTTCTTCCTAGATCTTGTAGAATATAGGGAGAGAGGTAACAGCTTCGCCTTTGGCGTGACCTTGTTGTCTATGTCGACCTCCACACGGCCGATAGTTACGCGGTAGAGTACCTCTTGTACCTGCTCCAGATAAAGCGACAGTTCATGGTTGCGCGTAAGACGGGTCCACTCTGGAACCACATCAGCCAGAGCCCAATCCACGTTCAGATATGTTGGATCAATTGCGATTAACTTCTGCATTTCGATCTCAGAAGAGGGCCACTGCTTTAGGATGGACCTAGCTAGCGCTTCACAAGACTCATCGACATTGGGGCCATGCAAGCTCTCGGCTTTGACGAGCTGTGCGCGTTTCTTGAAGCCGGTTTCAGAAAAAGGCATCCGTGACTTTTCCATCAAGGATATCAGATACGACATGGGAGGCGCTCCATCAGCTCGAAAGTGGAAGTAGGCGGCATGACTGGGAGCCGGTATAGCACGTATCGCTGGAATCATCGCGAAAGCTATGAGGACGCGCAACAGGTTCAGATCCACATCCGACGAGAAAGCGATAGTTGCCAGTAGGAACATCAGGCTGAACCTGTCGTCGACATTGCACTGAAGTGACTTTTGAGCAAGCGCACCCCACTCCGCTTTGATGTCGACAGCGAGGTGATCAGTGAGCAAACATTTGCGATAGCATTTATCGTAACCGCCCACGACCGGAGCATCGTGAAGAAGAGTAATCAGTGTAGCCTCCAACGAGCAAGTTGGCTCCCAATCCAGAAGAAGCTTCGATACTTCAAACGAATTTAGACGATCCTTTGAGGATTTTCGGTCATCGCGCGCAGTATAAACAACGTCCCAGTGGCCACTCTTTTTCCGATCATTCACGTTTGATCTGACTATCGCGCGGGCCGCCAAATGGATGACGTCAGGTTCCAGTTTGATTGCTTCTTGAAACTCGCAATCAGAGAAGAATTGAGACAAGTTCGCAGACTTTCGCAATATGCTCGCGACAACAGTGGTATATCGATCGTCCTGCATGGAAACTGTGCATTCGGGACGCCAGACAGTTGTCTCCATGACCTTTGTGTCTTTTGGATAATAGCCTCGCTTTGGCGATAAATCTGCGACATCTTTCAGTTTAGCGATCAAGTCGCTTGGTAGTGGACTCCAAGGTTGATAGGCTCCTGTCTGGAGCAGGTACAGTGCTTCCTCAGTTCCCGTTCGCCGTGTGAGCGGGTCGGCAACGATGTGCGAGGTGTAAGCATGCAGCAAAGCCTTGATATAGAGTAGACGCGGCTCGGGCGCGCAGTCGATACGTCCTAAGACGTCATTGATTGCGAATTTGAGGTATTCACCCCTGCCCATCTCGATGCCAACGGTTACATGAGGCCCATCCTTCGAGACTCGGAAATCGCCCAGGAGTACCAGTATACTCTTTTGACGGTGGTTGGCAACGGATTGGATCACGATCTTGCTCTGCAATCCATACCAAGTTCCCGCGTCTTGAATAGGTGAGATGATGGCACCGAGCCGCGAAGACTGCAGTAGGCCCTCGCTGTTGATGTGAAAGCTAAGTTCCATTCGCTTCAATTCCACTGTGACCCTACAGTCAGAGTCTGATGATTCCGTGCCCCTAGCACTGTGCGATGCGAACACCAGGATTTGAGACGGATGCTCAAAATGTGTAAAGATCTGTGCAATAGTCTTGAAAAGTTCGCTTCCAGGTTCCAGCAGTGTAGTTTGCGTTGGCTCTTCGAATCGCCGAACGGCGTGGTAGAAGCCAGCAGGGTGCCAGCGTACCCACCAGTTCATTGGCTTGAATCTCCACGGGCTCTGCTGACGGATCTCGACATGACCCTTATAGACATGAAGCCAGTGGTAGCAGTTTTCTACTAATGGTCTCGGGAGATCTGAACCAAAGACACCACTAGGAATGAATTCGATCAGTTCGCCCTTCTGATCGGCACGGATGATCAGCCGGCCGTTACGCCAGCCAAGATGAATTCGATGGTTGCTGAACAGCCCCATCTCAGCGATTGCGAAGTCCATGCCTCGAAGGGGAGAAGGCAAGACAATGGGGTTCCTAGTGCCGAACAAATGGATGTAGTCTGTGTGCGAGCGGTATGCCAGAGGCAACGTTCCCATTTCTTGTCCATCAATAAGCAATGTACCGTAGACGTAGTTGTAATGCACAAAGTACGAATGCTGATCCGCGGTCGACTCTAGTGTATATGACAGATACCACGTATCAGGGACGACTTCCAGCACGGGCTCGATAGTATCGTAATCTCCAGGAACGTGCCACATCGTGTTCAAAGATGCCCTGAAGGTCTGCGGATCCGCTAGTATAGTCTCCACTATGAGTTCGCGATGCTCATAAGTAAACAAAGTATCTTGCACGATGGCGTTGCGCATGTTGTATGGCATTTGGTCAAATCTTCCGGTCAAATTGTAATGCAGCGAGATCGACGCATCGAGATACATGCGAAGAACTTCCGATTTTTTGAGCTGCTCATCGTCAATGTGTATGGTCCGCCTGCACAAGAGGGAAGCCCAGATAGCTGATTGCAAGACGTTAGGATCCTCTGTGACCATGGGTTGTAGTTCTCTGCGCCAGCCGTCCGTAATCTTGCGAGCCTCGTGGAGAAGACGCATGCCTTCGGTTCGAATGCGGTCGCTCGGTGTGAGAGACGTCACCTTGAGCAAAATGGTGACAAGAATCTCCATCTGCACCGGTTCACGCCAATTCCGTCGGATCGCTTCTAGCCGAAAGCGAACTTGCTGCAGAAGCTTGCTACACAAACTGTCATCTGACAACGGACGGTGGACGTCTGTGAACCGAGATCCCCCTGCAGTGTCTGGCCCCAGCTGTAATACCAGACGTAAGACGAGTGACCACGTAGAATCTGAGGAGAAGTTGAGATTGGTGGACCCCAGTTCCCTTAGAAGGTCAAGCCACCTCGAATGTGTGCCTACCAAGAGACCTTGAAGTGCTGTGAACTCATGGATACCGACACCTTGAGTACATCTAGCTTGGTTCGCTTGTACTTCGTTCGATGTTGGCCATGTAGGATACTCGAGTCCAAGAGACACGAGCGGTGAGGTCGGAGGAAGTCTTACAGGAAAGTGATGCCAGAAAGAGGCCTTTCCAGACCTATCTGTCCAAGTCTCACCAAGACAATCAAAGTACCTGGGCTTGAGGCCGCAGGTCCGGATGACTTCGTCTACTCCGATTGGGAAACCCCAGTTTGCGTAGTGACATTCTAGATGAGCTTTCTTGTACGACCCCAGAGTCACTTGGCAGCTGGTCTCGTTGGCATATGAGTCGATCTGCGAGTATTCCCGGATCAGTGACATCCGGTCAAGCTTATCGGTCGGTTCGCGACACAGGGTCGACAGTATAAGCCATGTTGCGTCTCGGTAGGCAGCGAATACCTCTGGGCATTGTAACTCGAATAGTGTTGCTTTGGCAGCCGGTTCATAGCTTGGTAATGGATGCTCGTAGATCTGGATCCTGATGCCTTTAGCTTCTTGATTGAGGTTATGCCACTCGCAAGGAAGGCGATGACGTGACTCAGGCATGCCATCCCAGGCAACGAAAGCATCCCAGATACACTCCTTCTCATTCCGCTTGTCGATGGTTTGAGAATGGCGCTGGCTCTTTTCTTCCCATTCGACACGCTTAGCTTCATAGGCGATATCGGCATCTTCTTCAATCTCATCTCGTATGGCGCGTAGGTCGCCCTGAAGGTCTTCCTGGTCGTAATACTGTACAGCAAAGCAGTCGTCGGCAGGATCGTCGAAGATAGTCCTGCATTCTGCATTTGATCGTGCACGGTATCGAGCTTTGAGATACTTGCGTACTTCCTGACTCCGAATCATTTCTCCGTGTGTAAGAAGCTCGATGGGATCCAACAAATCCGGATCGAACCCCGGATGGTATTCCTGGAGCAATGGGTAACAAGCTACCGCATCTCTATCCATGAGAACCCAAAGTTCCATTAGATGAAGGAGCTGCTGGCTCTTCTCGTTGGGGTACGCCTGATCCACGGCACTGATCCTGGCTACGTAATCACAGATCACGCCGCTCAGTTGGATGGCTCGAAGGCCCTCTGGCTGCGTTGATTGCTTGACAGGGAGAACAACATCTTCCAGCAGCTTTGACGAAGCGATATGGCTGGACATGACTCTCATGTAGGGTTTGATAGAAGCCACAGATCGTTCGTATAGCTGCAGAAGCTCGGGAGCTGTTCGTTGTTCTGGTCGCGGGAGAGACGCGTGCGCAGCTAAGACGTCTCTAAGGAATCGACCGCTGCTGGTCAGGCGAAGTTGGAACTCGCGAGGATGGGCGTAGTGGCGTAGCTTTGGGATGTAGCGTTCCCGTGACTGCCTATGGGTACGCCAGACTTGCCTTAGATAACCGCCAGTCGTTGCCAGGGTGCGCTCGAAAATGCCTTCCAGAGATAGCAGAGGATTGTAACGCCTGCCTAGGGCTGGCCTGTTGGCAACCTGGGTGTCTGACGTGAGCTTAGCGAGACGACGGCCTAGCTTTTGACGTAATGAAAAGGCCGCATCTAGGGGGATTTTCTTCAGGACATCTTCCAGTAGCTGTGCATGTAGAAGACACATCAATGTCTTGTAGTGCAGACTTCCAACCTCCGCACCCAGGTGGTGATATAAGTAACGCTGGACTGCTACTCGGAGGACCAGGTAGAAAGCGGATCTCCTCCATGGTGTGCGAGCATTATCGAAGTTGACCGTGTCACGCACGCGCTTCCGTAGACCAGGAACCGCAACTGCAGCGCCATTGGCCTCCAGTATAGTCATCAACAGGCCAGATATGAGAGCGGGATCACTGGTGTCTCGGATCTCGGGAATCGTGGCGGCTGCCTTCCAGGTGATAGCGGCAAACTTTGTGACCGACTCGCTGCTAGCTTGTTCGATGAAACTGGCGACAGCTTCCTGAAAAGCTTCTTCGTTGATAGTCGATGCTGGGACAGATACCGCGCAGCCGGGGACTACATGTAAGTTCAAGATCAGTAAATGTGCGACACCGATGTATATGTCAGTCACTTACAGTCCCATTGTAGCGCGCCTTTGGCAGCAAGCACCTTGTCGGCTGTGGCGGATGTCTCAAATGCTTCGAAAATGATGTTGCGCTCGCCGGAGGTGTCCTGGGGATACACGAGCAAAGCGCAGTTCTGAGGTGCGATATGCAGAACAAGCATTTTCCCATGGCTGAAGTCGCGAAGCTCCTTCATCAGCGCCGCCTTGCCGATGGTTCCGTCGACATTGAGTATTTGACACGCGAGCAATGTTTTCCGCAATCCTTGGACGTGCGGAGCAACATCTGCAGCGACATGGGGGGTAAGCCTCGCAACGGCGTCAAGCATACGCTCCAAGAGAGCTTCCTCGACGCGATGCAGGTTGCCATCTTCGCGGCCAGGTACATTGCGGGGCAGCGCTATATGGTAGTACTGCTGCTCAAGAAATGGCACTCGCGCGGCGGACGCCATGGCTGTTTCGAGTGCCTGCTGCAACGAGGCAGCGGGCGGGGGCAAGAACGAGTGTGAAAATTCGCAATACGACGGAAGTGCGATATTGCGATGTTGCAAGAGTTGGCAGGTGGTGTTGTCGAAAACGCGACTGCTTGATGAGGGCGCAGTACCAGGGTTGACTTAGGTGCCAAGCATTGTTTTGCTAGGCGGCAGCAACGCGTAGACGCCCTCCCCAACGATGAGCAATGAACGATGAACATTGAGCCTTGCCAGAAGTCGTGGAACACCAAAGCGCAGTCTCGGGCCAATCCTCTTGCCACCGGTGAACGAGTCTGCATGAGGAGACATGTCGGCTAGCGAATGGGTGACTGAGGCACTGTACGGCGCTACGAGAAACCCTCAGCCTCGCCAGTCCCAAAAGAAGAGACCATGATGGACATAGCGATTGATTTCCAGGATTAATGATGCTAGACGCTTCCATCAGGCCGGTCTTGACGTCCGCAGTTGCCTCCTGTCCACGAATCAAACAAGTGGAGGATGTATGGTAAAGGTGGGAGTAACAGGAAGAACGAAACTGTGTTGCTTCCGAAAAGCGACAACGCAAAAAGAGAAGGAACGAGTCCAGATTGGCTGAGAGAAACGCTGCTGAAATGACAAGGATGACGGAGACGTGGCCTGCATCAAATGGAAAGAACGACCTACGTGTGTTAGTGTAGTATCACTACTGCTTTTCAACCTTGGAAGCTGTCCATCACCTTGATGTGAAGGTAGGAGTTGCCAGATTGTTTTCAGACGTCCAGACAACAACAGAATTGTCGATAGAGCTCATCCAGACGTTCCGACGCGCGTGCTGGTGAAGCGCGTGTTGTAACGCGACAAAAGTAGAAAGCGGCAGATTGGAGGCATGTTCTACTTCTCAGCGCATCAATGGTAGTTGAGCGCAAGTCTGTGGGAGCTTCGTGATGATGCATGATGGAGTTGTAGTCTCTATAGCTGAGAGAAGCCTGGTGGTGAGAGGTTTGACGACGCGTGAGGTACAATCGCATTTACCCGGCCCCTTGCCTAGCTCCACAGCTAGCAACATAGCGCCTTCCCCTCCCTTGTCTGCCTTTCGCATTTCCAGTGCATTTATCTCTCTGCTCCAATAGCATCTCCTACATTTTCTGCGAACCCCCAATGAAGCCGTCGAACGACAGCGGCTAGCTCCAGCCGATCTCGCTGCCTCATGGAGGGCAAACTTCATCCGTAAACGGCATATCGGCTGCAGCACCTGCCTGCCTCGGTTACTCTCTCCCCAGCTATCACCGCTATGCCTTGTGGGTTTATTCCCGCTAGATTAATCATCGCCACCATGAAGGCGGGAAAGTGCGAAAGGGCGCCCGCGACTAGCCCATCTCGAGCTCCAAGGCGCGACATTGGAGGTTGTGGGTGAGTCTCTACACGCATCACCACTAGCTGGCTCGATGCGCTTTCGTTTCAATTATTTATATACAGTTTTTATGCTGCTAGAATAAGCAGCGGGAGCTCGTTCGTCGGTACGCATTCGCTATTGGTCGAGTCTGGGATCTCATCGGCGCCGTCATCAGCACTATGTCGCACAGCAACTTTACCCAAGACGCGGCCGCGGGAACGACACCAGGGACACACGCAAGGAACACCCCGCCGTCACCCAAGTCGTACACTTCAGACAAGTCCCGCGTCATCGAGGACGTCGAAATCGAAGAGGACCGCGCCTCCATATCCTCAGCGTCGACGCATTCCGATTCGATCAACTCGGCAGTGGATCAACGTCCGTCGATACATCATACATGGAGTAGAAATACAGGGCACTCGTGGCCTGGCGATAAGGAGGATGCGATCGCAACTGTCACAACGAACGCGACGCAAGACCCGCGCTTCGAAATTGACTTCGAGGATGGAGAAGACCCGGAAGACTGGTCCATGTTGAGGAAGGCTGTTGTCATCTTCTTCATGAGCTTCTCGACACTGGTCGTAGTTATGTACTCGACAAGTTATACAAGCGGCATACCGGGCATGATGGCAACATTTGGCATTCAGTCGAAGACGTTGGTGATCTTGGGGATAACAACCTACTTGTGCGGTCTGGCGATTGGATCACTGCTCCTGGCACCGCTTAGTGAGATGTATGGCAGGAGACCCGTCTACCTTATCGCTGTCGCATCCTTCACCATCCTCGTCATACCATGCGCTCTGTCGAACAATCTAGCTCAGATCCTCGTTATGCGCTTCTTCGGTGCCATCGCGGGCGCGGCTATGATTTCCAATGCTCCAGGCACCGTCTCCGACATATCCAAGGAAGACTACCGCGCATTAGCTTTTTCGATATGGTCTTTAGGGCCAATGAACGGGCCTGTCTTCGGCCCTCTCGTTGGTGGCTTTGTCTTCCAAGCCCTCGGCTGGCGGTGGACGAACTGGGTTGTCATGATCGGCTCTGGCGCATCCTGGTTCATGGTCTTTCTGATCCCAGAAACATACAAACCAGCAATCCTCCGCGCAAAGTCAGCCAAGAAGCGTAAAGAAACGTCCGACCCCCGATACTACTCTCGCTACGATGAGAAGAAGGCTTTCTGGCCTTTACTACGGGAGAACCTCTACCGGCCGCTTAGCATGGCGGTCAACGAACCCATCTGCATCTTCTGGGACGTATACATAGCATTGGTCTACGGAGTCTTGTATTTGTGCTTCGTCTCGTACCCCATCGTCTTTGGTGAGCTACGGGGTTGGTCGCCTGGACTCGTTGGACTGGGTTATATGGGTATTGGCATTGGCGGTGTCATCACGATAGCTTCGGAACCTTTGCTTCGTCGTATGATCAACAGCCACAAGAAGGATCCAGAGACTGGCAAGCCATACCCAGAGGCCATGGTCAGTGTGGTCGTCATCGCTGCGGTGTTGGTTCCTGTTGGCGAGATGATTTTTGCCTGGTATGTGTCCTTCCTCACCTGGATCTTGTTTATGCTAACACATGTGTAGGACATGCACTCCCAACGTCCACTGGATCTTCCCCCTCATCGCCGGCATCCCCTTCGGCGCCGGAAACTGCGGCGTCTTCATCTACGCGTCAAACTACCTCGTTCACTCCTACGGCATCTACGCCGCGTCCGCTCTCGCTGGAAACGCCGTCTTGCGATCCGCCATGGGTGGTGCTCTTCCCCTCGCAGGCCCAAAGATGTATCAAAGTCTTGGCCCACATTGGAGTGCGACAATGCTGTCGCTAATTGAGTTTGCGCTCATACCCATACCTGTGGTTTTCTACCTCTATGGACACAAGATCCGGGAAAAGAGCGCGTTGATCAGGCAAATGAGAGAGGACAGGGAGAGAGTTGATGCAAAGAAGAGGAAAGCGGCTGAGAGGATGGAAAAGATGAGGGGTGGTGTGCTTGATGAGAAGAAGTTGGACGTTTGATAGACTTGCATGTATAAGGATCATTGATGCACCGAATTAGACTATTGTTCACCAAGATGCATTTGCACGGCTGGTATGGTACCCTATGCTGTTTGACCAACGCGTTCAATGTCGTGATCATCAGAGCAATCCTCATCTACTCCACTAACAAGACTCCACGTCTCACTTCCATCCTGCTCTTCTCCCAGTATCACATATCCATCTTGCGAGTCATCACCCCAGTCACTGAGATCGCTGTCCCAGCCCTGATCATACTCGTCCAGCTTCTCTTCTTCAACTCCCTCTCGCTGCATCCGCCTCAAATCCTCATCCGCCTCCATCCTCCCCCTCAACTCCCCGCTAGCCCACTCAACAAGACTACACCTCTGCACCTCCTCCGGCGCCGCAACCTCCCACTCCGTCCCCACCCCAAACTCCGCACAAGCACACTCCCGATCCAAAGTGCACCAACACGAACACGTACAAGTCCCCCCACCCACCTCCGAGCATTCATATCCGCAGCCAAGGAACCAACACCCAGACAAGTTCCTATGCCACTGCCAGGTATACTCGCCCCACCACCAGAAGCCTGGTATCACGGGTAGAGCGGGTTCGTTGCGGCTACAGCAGCGTTGTTTGAGGATTTGTGGAAGTGTGAGGATACAGGCTAGTGTGGCGTGGGCGCGGATCTCGGAGAGGGTGGTGGGGAGGGTTGTTTCGTGGGGTTTGGCAAACGCCGCGGTGGGTATGGTGGCGCTGACACGACCGGGTCGCCTGGTGTCGCGCATGGTGTGTGGGAGGATGGCCAGCGGCGCGGGGCTCGTGGGTTCGCCGTAGGTGTGTATACGGTGTTCTTTGACGCGCTGCATCTCTGCGATGCGACGCCGGGCCCAGGTGCCAAAGTCCTCGCCCGCTGTGATGTCTCCGGAGGCTGTCCCTTCGAAGAGATGGGCGTTCTTGCCGAAGAGTTCGTATGCCTCTATGTCATCCATATGCTCCATGTCTACTTCATGCGCCCATCTGTCGTAGCAGTCGTTCTCCCATTCTCGAATGTCTGCCTGCTTGTACTCGTGCCGAAGCTGGTTCTCTCGTGCGAGACGGTATCGGTCATTGCGACGACGCTTGTTACCGCTGTAGATGCGCTCGGGGTACTTCTTCGATCGTTGGCGTACGCGACGGGCTGAGCGGAGGTCTTTGAAGGGGTGGTCTGAAGTCCGGCCAGCGGCATTCATCGCAGGTTCGGAAGGGAGGGTGAGGAAGCCGAAAGGCAGGTCCTCGTGTGTTTCTGGCAACTCGCCCATGCAGGTTGTACACCAGTTGGCGGGATGGCCAGCCCATTCGAGCGTCTTCTGCTTCATCCTGACAGTTTCGAGGCGGAGGGCTCCTGGAGCGACCTGCAGACGGAAGGCCTAGCTGTGTAAGTTATTCAGAGGTTAGCCATCATTATAGCAGTCCCAAGTGACCATGAAGCCCCCTGGCTATGTCATCATGAGGCGTTCTACAATCTTCGCGGCTCAGCCCTCGCGCGATGGGCGAGGGCGCATGGCTGCGCAGAAGGGCGGAAGTCGACGGGAATGTTGCCGCAGGATCCAGCGACGACGTTGATCTATAATCAATGTGTGTTTGTAATCTTCCGTATTAGGCGCAGGCTTGCAAAGCACTTCTCTTGTACCAGATTATAGTGATTGTTCAGATGGGTGTGGAGAGGGACGGTGTGGTGACAAAGTTGGTGTTGGGCGCAGCTGCGTTCAGAAGGCGCGTGGTAACTTACTAGACACCCGCAATCGACGGCTTTTGTGGAGTTGCCTAATTCGGACCAATCGCGAAACAGCACACGGCCACAACCTCCAATGCCTCATCTCAATCTCAGATCCACTGATTTGATGAATGCGCTGTTAACATTCGCACACAATGCTGTTAATACCTGAACAACACCTTGTCGATATTGCTAATCCTGGTTGATCGGTGAAGTCTTCAGAGCACTTGTCAGATATATGTCTCAAATTGAGGGTGTATCTTCTTTGACGCTGAGTACAACTCGCATAATGCAAGCTTTTTCCGTAAACAGCCAACAAAGCTCTAATACACGTGAAACTCTTCAAGCTCAGGTTCGCTAGCCTGCAACTTCCTTGAGCACATATGACGCAGTCGCTCGCGAAACTTCGTTTGATTCGACCATTGAGGAGAAAACGCGATGCTCTTAATTTGAACGCCGTTCCTACCATCAGAACAGGGGCGGACAATTATCGGTATCTCGACACCTGGACATCGGATAATGAGATCACCTGGCTTGACATTTCGTCGACACTCGCCTATGCTGGCACGTCCGAGCGGTCCCGGGTTGGACCCCTGGAACAGTATTGTTGAGTCGTCTGCTAGAGCATTGCACACGGCGATATGGGTTCTGAGTAAATCAAGTTCTGTGGCCTTTGAAGTTCCCCAACTCGAGCCATCTCGCAAAAGGGATAAAAGCGCTGGGACCTCCTTGCGTCTGTGTCTGCATATGAAGCGTTCCCAACAGTCGAATTGAGCGAAAGTGCCGATGTGTCCATAGAATGGTAAGTTCATGTTCGTTGTCTCGAGAATCTGAAGCAGTCGTCCCAGATTGTGAATGTGTTTACGATATTCGGCCTGCTGGTATGTCGACTGAGTCTTGCAGAAGTCGAAGGTTGCAACGACTACGCCTTGTCGACGGCCATGGATTGATATCGCATGATCGCCCACCATAGAGATACGTATATTGCCTAGATTTTGGCGATCCTTGTCGTCTGCAACTTCACCAGGGGTAGCAAGAACTCGTGTCCGGTCAACATCACCAAAATCGCAATGTTTGCTGGTGCCGAACGGACACGAGCTCTTCTCACCGCTGGTGACGTGATTAGAGCGAATGAGTCTTTCGATATCACCCCATTTGTTCTCTCGGTATTCATTGGGCGTCCAATCCGGTACCCAAGACGGCTGCCCCTTCATGTTGTTCATTGCAGCGATCAGGACTAGATGGGGTGACCCTGTTATCTGGACCAGAAGCCGAGAGAACGAAAAGTAGATCGCTTCCTTGGATTCTCCATAATCTACCTGGGGAAGAGGATGCCGGGTGCGACGTTGCAAGATAGCCCAAAGGCCAAAGGCCATGTCTTTGGACACTGCAGCATCTCGGGTGTAAACACCGTCAATGAGATCGTTCACGTTGGTTTGGCGTTCTCCATTGCGGTACAAAACGCGCGGGGATGATAATAAGACCAGGCGTACCATCATCACGAGAATGATGAAGACGGCTGTCAACGAAACGGCCAGAATTACTTTGCGCTCATGAGGACCGGAACCAAGCAAGGCGGACCAGAGCAGGAAAACGAGTAATAACCCGAGGAAGTAGAAAGTTGCTCGATCGGTTAGGCGGTGAAGTCGACACATGCGTCTCGAAAATTCTGCATAGACTTCCAAAGAGGAGTCGCGCGCAGGATCTGAAGTTGTGCACTCCGGATTCATGTCTTGCCTACTCATAGCAACTCTCTTCCAAGGGCACATGTAAGACCCGAGACGAGGGCTCGCAGTAGCCAAAAAGACCAGACTGATTGCGAATCTGTCCCAGCAGATATGAGTGCTGCCGCAAACTATAATCGGGTTGGAGGCGAGAAGGATCTCTTGGTAGGTCCAGAGTCTACTGATCCAAGTCCGCTGTAGCAGATCCAAAAGGTCCGCTTCGGTTGCGTATTTTGTTTCTCTGTTGAACAATCGCAGTATGTAAGGACTCAGCGGGCCTCGCCATGTTCCGACAGAATCTTCTCAAGTCAGCGTAGATACGAGTTCGAGGTTATGACGCTTACCATGAAACACGAAAGGGTGCCTTGTCAAGCTCCAACGTGCTATAGTAGCAGAAAAGGCTGCGAGAAATGGGCGCCCATAATCAGCTCCGGGGGTTTTGGTATCACCACCCAACGCCTGGAAGTAGTCCAAGAAGCCAGCGGTTTCCATATATTCAATTGCGCGATCGGTTTTCTCGTTACCTTCGCCGAGCCACACGTACACAGTTGCTGCTCGCGAGTATACATCTCCCATCAGCGGAATCTGGTGTTCCTTTTCCTTCGTGTTCTTCTGGTCGATGCAGATCGCATCAATCCATATCGTAAAAGCGCCAAATCGCGTGCGTAGGTGCTGTAGCGCTGAATAGCCATTGACAGAGACGACGATGTCCACGCCGTTGCATGTAATAGTTCGATTGTCTTTCGGTGAGCCCCAGACGTAAGAGATGGCGGTAAAGTCGGGAGAGGTCTCTAGATCCACGATGCGGAGATGACCGACTACAGCGGCTGCTTCAGTCGACGCTCCATCGACATCGAGAACGCGTATGCACTTCGAGCTTGGAGGTATAGGTAACGAATGGTATGGCGCTGCGGCGGAGCCATGGGCCATGACAATTGATGCCTATCAACAAAGCATAATAAACCTCGGGTTCTGCGAAAAGGATAGATACGGCGGAGAGACGCGCTGCAACATGTCTATTAACGGTGTAGACCACAACACATGCAGGGGCAGCCAAGGAAACGTGGCTTGAGCGAAACTGTATTGTTGACTATTTCAGGTTGGCTTCGGTTCACGATGCTATCAAGGAGGCTATTGGGGGCCGGCCCGCATGATTGTATGGCTTCGCAAATGCTGTCTCTCAAATAAGGGACTTCGGGATGCCGTAGGTAGATTTGAGTAGGTACACATCGCCCCCAAGTCCATGGACGATTCCAGGGGCGTTGGTGCAGGAAATGAAGACGGTGCTTGAGCTTAGCTGGGTGCATATCTCCGAAGCGCCCAGGGCTGCCAGCCTACCAGCCACCCGCAGCCGCAGCCGCTCCTTTCACCACCTGTGCAGCCTTTCCACGGCAACAGCAGAAGATGACCGCGAGGAAACAGCCGTCGCGATAGATTACGAGTGTCGCACCTGGCTCGAGCGGCTCACGCGACGTTCGAATCGAAGCAATGTGTGTCTTGCGCAGTGCTGCGACATCTGCCGAAGAATGATCGACTCGGCTTCGCGATGACGTAATGTTCGCCTTGCACTGATTGATGATGCCAATACTCCTGTGAGACGCATTCCCGCGGGCATACCCCAACATATCTTCATATATTCAATTGCTAGGGAACCCAAGAGCAGTGAAGCTTGAAATATCGCGATTCATCCACCATGGCCTCAACCACGGAATCCACAGTCCCCCTCTGGATCGACAACAAGCCCATCCACACGCGAACCACCATTCCCGTGACCCAGGCCAGCACCTCCAAAACCATCCACCACGCTTCCTCCGCCTCCACTACCGAAGCAACCCAAGCCGCCACATCCTCCTTCTCCGCTTTCAAATCCTGGCGCTCCACCTCCCACACAACCCGTCGCAACCTCCTCCAAAGCGTAGCCACCTACTACGCCGACAATGCCTCTACGCTCATCACCGCGCAAATCGCAGAAACATCCTGCACAGAAGCCTGGGCGCGTACAAACGTCAACCTCTCCATCTCGTACCTCAACGAAATCGCCGCGCAGATAAGCAGTGTGACAGGCGTTATTCCCCCAACTGAAAAGCCCAACACCCAGGGTTTTGTGTTCAAAGAACCCATCGGCCCGGTCTTGTGTATCGCACCCTGGAACGCCGCACTCGTTCTTGCTACGAGAGGAATAGCAAGTGCCATAGCAGTTGGCTGCACCGTAGTCTTCAAAGCGAGTGAACTGTGTCCCCAAACCCACGGACTCATTACGCAAGCTTTCGCTGAGAGTAGCTGTCCAGATGGCGTGTTGAACCAAATTCAATGTGGGCGGGAAGATGCGGCTGAGGTGACAGAGACGTTGATAGCGCATGATGCGATTCGCAAGATTGAATTTATCGGCAGCGCGGAGGTGGGGAAGAAGATCATGGGCATCGCGGCGAAGTATCTCAAGCCCGTGTTGATGGAACTAGGCGGGAAGTGCCCGGCGATTGTGCTTGAAGATGCGAATTTGCAGGAGGCGGCGAAGCAGTGCGGGATGGGTGCTGTGTTGAACCATGGGCAGATTTGCTTCAGTACTGAGAGGATTATTGTGATGGAGGCGGTGGCGGAGAGGTTTAAGGCGTTGCTGGTGGAAGCTATGAAAGGGATGGAGGGGCCGGCTGGAACCGCGGTGTCGGAGGTTATTGCGCGGCATGCTGAGGATGTTACAAGGGATGCGCAGGAGAAGGGCGATGAGGTTCTTGTTGGTGGTGTTGAAGCTGCTTCTTCTGGGAGTGGGCTTGCGCTCAAGCCTACAATTGTCGTCAACCCCTCGCCTTCATCTCGGATTATCGATGAAGAGACGTTCGGCCCTTCCGCTTCGCTTTACGTCGTTTCTTCAGATGAAGAA